TGCTCACTTAAATGTAATCTTTAAAAACACTTAATAATTTAATAACGCTGTAAAATCTATTGATGCCTAAATTCACTTTTAATTCTAATTAAAATTACTGATTATTTTTAAATTAATTTCTTTTAGTGATTTTTCATTTTTGTTGTTAATTTGTTTAGACAAAATAGTATAGAATTTTTATATTGTCAGTTTATCAGTTATTTGCCATAACATGAAACTAGTAATCAGTTTATTGGCCTTGGGCAGAACTGTAAAGTCACCATGAAACCAAAATTGACGATTCATCAATTTATTCATGCACAAAATTCATGTGCCCTTACAATTTTGATGAAAGATTACAAAAACTAACTTTTTTGTTGTTGTTGGATTACGTGCAATCATGAATCATGGTAAATAAAGTAATTAGGGCAAATTTTGATTTCATGTTGAATAAGTTCAAGCTTCCTGGTGCTCCTGGTTCATACTGTGTCCTCTCATAGCTTAGCTACATTTTGTCATTATTGCTGGTTGCATTGGCATTCCCTGATTTTTTTTTTTCCATCTGTTAAACGAACTTCCACCTCTATGTCTTTCCTTCCTGTCCATTATTCATATTCTACATCCTGCTGTAGATGACTGGTGCTCCCCTCACCACTCAGGTATCCATATCTCAGGATTGCATGTCCCTGTATAGAGCCTGAATGTTTCTCCACACATTTATACAAATGAAAATGATCTTACATAACATTACATGAACAACAGATACAAATCTGAAAGGATATTCCTCTGCTTTTTGGAAATTCCTACTCATGTTCCTCGAATGCTTTTTCATTTTCCAGAGTGTAGCAGCATAATGTCCATTATCTAACTGAATTTGCACAGCTAAAAGAATCAAGGCTTCAGCCGATTTCATTGGTTTCTGCATAATCGGTATGCATGATCAATATGTATAAAGATTATTAAGCTTTTTTTGTAAAGGCTCTGTACACTGACATGTATTATCGCTGTATACGCCTCCACTGAAGTACTTGTGTCCTTGTGTCTTCATTTTGATATTTCGTCATTGTGCAACTAACTGTCTTACGCATTCATAAATTACTTTTGGGAGTGAGCATGTGAACATTAACAGAAATGCTCCATCATGCATTCACAATATTTTTGTTTTTAAATTGATTCATACTGTGATTTATTTATTTTTTTGTCTGGATTTATGCATGCTGTCATGCACATTAAACTGGTACACAAAAAATACATTCAGCATGTTAAAGTAGATGATGTGTAAAATGCAGTAAACAACATCCAATGAATCACCTCTGTTTTGGTCCATTGTACACTATCGGTCAGACGTTTGGGGTCAATAAGATATATATTTTAAATACTTTTATTCAGCAAGGATGCATTAAATTGATCAAAAGTGACAGTAAAAACATTTGTAATATGTTTCAAATAAATGCTGTACTTTTTATTCGTCAAATAAAAAAAAAACTGTATAAAGGTTTCCACAAAAATATTAAAAGGCACAACTGCAAATCACATATTAAAATAATTATTGAGGGATCATGTGACACTGAAGACTGGAGTAATGACTGCTGAAAATTCAGCTTTGCCATCACAGAAATAAATAATATTTTAAAATATAGTAAAATAGTTGTTATAAATTCTAATATTTTTAAACAATATTTCTGTTTTTACTGTTTCTATGCAAATAAATGCAGTCTTTGTGAGCATAAAAGATTTCTTATACCCTAAACTTTTGCACAGTAGTGTATATCTTCTTTACTACAGCATTGTTTACAGTAAAGAAAAATAAATCAGAGGTTTAATGGAAGCATAAAAAACAAATATTAACATTGCAGTAAATACAATGTATAATTCAGTAGAGAGCAGCATAGGAAGACCAAATGTAAGTTTTGGGGGCAAGAGGAGAAAAATAACCACTTTAGCTGCTACCATTGATAAATCTCTGCTTCCTCCTGGAGTTGAACAGCCCACTGTCATCACGCTGGCAGTGTTGCCAGATTGGATGGATGATTTCCAGCCCAAAAGCTCCCAAAAACCCTCCCAAAAACCGCCCAAAAACTGTGAAAGATCAAATTCAAAACCGCCCAATTGGGCGGGAACCCGCCCAATCTGGCAACACTGCACGCTGACCACAAAGGATGCTGGGAACGTTGGCGTTAGCTGCACGTTCCTCACAGTGAGCTCCACACTGCCACCCTGTGGAATTAAATGCATCCTCAACCAAAGACTCTTGAAAAGCCAATGACAATGTTGCATTGTGTCTGATATACTGCATATCAGAATTACAGAATTGTAATAGTTTTGCGAAAGCATGACTTCGTGTTTTCTCTGTTTAATGTGCACTTGCTGTGTATTTTTCAGGTGCGGGTGGTTCAGGGTAAGGAACCTGCTCACCTCATGGGTCTGTTCGGAGGGAAGCCTATGGTGGTGCACCAGGGCGGCACCTCCAGGGAAGGCGGTCAGACTGCGCCAGCCGAGACTCGGCTGTTCCAAGTGCGCTCAAACTCCACAGGGTGCACACGAGCGGTGGAGGTCAGCATCTAATATTTACTATTGGTGGGAGCTTTTAAATAATCTCTAAATATTTGCTGATCTTAACCGTTGTTGTATCCAGGTTGATGCCGTGTCCTCCAATCTGAACTCCAACGATGCCTTTGTCTTGGTGACCCCGGCTGCATCTTTCATATGGGTGGGACGAGGAGCCTGTGATACGGAGAAACGTGGGGCACAGCAGCTCTGTGATATCCTTGGAGTGTCGTCCTCCGAGCTGGGTGAAGGAGGAGAGGATGGTGAGGACTCATCTGAAATTTTCAAAATAATATTTCACCCAGAAGTTTTAAAAAAGACCACAAAAAGAGTGAGAAGCATCATAATAGTGGTTCATATAGCTTATGTGACAGTATTTAAATTTTTGGGTAAACTACTCCTTTTAAGATGAATGAAAAATAAAACAAAAGAAATTAATCATTTAATGATTTCATTTAATTTTTGATTTTCATTTAATAAACATATTTGATTCATGTGTGACCATTTTTTATTACTATATATATTATACGCATTTATGACTTATTGTTATTTTTTATTTTTTTTAAGTGATTCTCATAATTAAGCTCATGTGAATATGCATGTATGCATCACACTGCAGGTAGTTTCTGGGACGCTCTGGGAGGAAAGGCTGATTACCGCACGTCCGCCAGGCTAAAGGACAAGATGAATGCCCACCCACCACAACTGTTCGCCTGCTCAAACAAAACTGGGCGTTTCATTGTGAGTAACACACCCAGATTTTTTGCCTGCCCTGATTTAAATACAGCAAGTATATTGTCAGTGTAGTATGATCAAGAGCCATTCATTATGGATGCATTGATATCCATGCAGATTGAAGAAGTTCCTGGAGAGATGACCCAAGAAGACCTGGCTACAGATGATGTCATGATCCTGGACACCTGGGATCAGGTAAACTGACTACTTTAACAGGATTGTTCTACTTTACATAGTGTTGCAATCAAGGAGATCTCATTTATAAAGGGAGAGCTGTATATTCCCATTCATATCAATGGAAGCATGTGACCTGGAAACTGTTTTCAAATGTTATTATATCAGTAATGGAGAAACATGCTTTTTGTCTGCATAATTGTGTAGTTACAGCATCGACCGGTAGGGATGCAGAAGCTAACCGGCCAAACCTTGAACCCTTCTGGGTTCAATAAAATTTCCAAATAGTTGGTTAATCATTAAATTTCTATATGTGCAGAGTTATTGTTAAGGTAGTTCAGTTAAATTTTGTACCATACTTGTCTTGCATGACTCTTTTATTAATGCAGTGACATGCAACTGATGTTTAATAAATTAATAATGCGTCACAGAGAATTGTAAGGAATGTTGATGTGTTTTGCAGGTGTTTGTTTGGATTGGTAATGAAGCTCATGATGAGGAGAAGACTGAGGCAATGACTTCAGGTAAGGCACCTTAAAACACTTTATACTTCTAATTATAATTCACTGCATAAAGTATAAAACAGTAAGTTTTACCATACTACTGTTTACCATACTAGAGTAAACAGTGTATTACCATACTACTCAGTATGCAATTTTTTTTCTTTGTGTAGAACGCTCAAATTACCTACTACATTCCTCATGTGAAGTACACAACAGATCATTGCATGGAATACTGTATCCCACAATGCAACTCTTGTTTATCCAAGTGATTTTTAATATTTATTTTTGACAAAACTGACAATATTTATTTAGGATAAAACAGAACAAAACAAAACAAAAAATTTTTTGTTCGATTTTTTAAAAATTTTGTTCCAAAATGGTAACTGGGTGCCACTTATATACTAGACAACCAAAACATATTTTCATTTATAAAATCATTCTAATATGCTGTTTTGGTGCTCAAGGAAATTAATAATATGATCGGTTGAAAAGAGTTTAGCTGTTTAATATTTTTGTGGAAACCAACATACACTTTTTTCATAATTCTTTGCTGAATAGAAAATTCAAAAGAACAGCATTTATTTGGAATCTGTTAATGCATGTCATGACAGATTTTTTCAGTTAATATTGTCTGTGGTCCATGCTACAGTCCAGTAGGTGGCGATAATGTTTGCAAGATAGAAAGGAAGATAGAAACATGAGCATATTTTGAAATCCCAAAACACTTTATAACGTGTCCTTTTATGAATCCCATATTAAACTTCCTTTTCGCTCTCTCCAGCTGCCCGATACATTGAGACGGACCCAGCCACCCGTGACCCACGTACACCCATCGTGAAGATTAAACAAGGCTTTGAGCCGCCCACATTCACAGGCTGGTTCCTGGGCTGGGACCACGACTACTGGAGCACTGACCCCCTGGAGCGGGCCATGGCGGAGCTGGAGATCTGAACTTTGAGCTGTCACCCCTGACCTTTAAACCCCACTACCTTACTGCAAGTTGATCAAAGTTGCCCTTAGATTCATATAAGATGCCAATTTGATGCTTATGAAGGTTTAATCATGGATTCAAAAACCAAAGCTGGTCCTGGGTCAGTATCAAAAGGCAATTTTTAAAAAGAGCACTTTACTGCCCTTAGCTTCAGTCACCATACGGCAACTCCATTCATTTAACTCCTTTTTACTTCTGTATTTAAGTGTTTTCGTTCTGTGCTCAACAGTTTTTACTCTTGTAAAGCTTTTAGATTGTTGTGCTTGGTCTGCACACCTTATGTTGCTGAAGGGATATCTTTGTCAAAATCAGTCAGGTATCTTTTTCTAGAAATCTTTTTAATGTGACCAGTATCAAGAGTTTTACTATAAATAATACTTTAGTGTTTTGAATTAATATTTTTATGATAAGCAATGCTTATGATGCCACCAAAGATATGAGGCATTTCCACCTTGTCGCTATTCCATCTGACACTCAGGAGTTCAGTGATTGGCTGTGTGCTGACTAGAATACTAGCATACTACTCATACTGTTCTGTAAGTGTATTATAGTGTGTATACAGTATATATTTATATACATGAAATACCTAGATAACCTTCTACATTTGCCAAAATGTGCAGTATACGACATAGCATGCTCTGTTGAACATTTCATCCCAAAGTGTTCCACAATTGTTGTTAACTAAAAATAAATAGTTGTAAATGTAAATAAAGCTAAAATAAAATATAAATAATGGATGAAGAACTTAAACTAAATGAAAATCAGAAATGTTGCTTTGGCAACTAACTGAAAGAAAGTTGAAGTTGAAGCACAAAAATGAACTGGAAATAACTCAAACTAAAATAAAAATAAATTACAAATAAATAAAAACAACAGCAAAGAATAAAAATTACAAAAGCACATAACACAATTACTAAAATGAAAACTGAAAATATAAAAGAAAATTCAACATATCAATAAAAAACTATAGTAGTATATAGTACTATAACGCACTTGAGCATTCAGGTGGTAATATCAATATGATATATCAACCACGATTTTTAATGACTGATTGCTAAATCAGACTGCCAAATGTTAACACAAAACTGGCTTAAAAATGCAAAACAACTTAATAAATTGAAAATGGCTATCATTTAATGTGTATTGTGTGACAACAATGTAAAATATGGTTTAAAACTCTTATTGTGAAGTAATACCTATTTCACTTGCTATTTTTAATTAGGCAGTATACTGTACATACTGAGCAGTATCCAGTTAGTAAGCTAGTACTCATTCCAAACACAGCCATGGTCCGTGTGAACAAAGACAATTATTATTATTATTATTTTTAAGACTATTAAATCCATTACTGGAGTTTTAAAGGAGCATGTCTTGTTAGAGGCCTAGAGAAGCAGAGGCCTTATTATTCTTACATATGCAATGGTAAGACTGAATGGATGCGCAGCGGAAGGTCTGCTGTTTATTTCTAGGGGCTGGTTTAGATAACTGTTAACATATGGGTCAATCAACTGCCTGAAGATCAGCTAAAATGCTATAACTTATAGTGCAGAGGTGAGTTGCCTTTGATATTTGCTGAATCCCCAGCTGCGTCGTTCATATGGGTGGGACGAGGAGCCAGTGATACGGAGAAACGTGGGGCACAGCAGCTCTGTGATATCCTTGGAGTGTCGTCCTCCGAGCTGGGTGAAGGAGGAGAGGATGGTGAGGACTCATCTGAAATTTTCAAAATAATATTTCACCCAGAAGTTTTAAAAAAGACCACAAAAAGAGTGAGAAGCATCATAATAGTGGTTCATATAGCTTATGTGACAGTATTTAAATTTTTGGGTAAACTACTCCTTTTAAGATGAATGAAAAATAAAACAAAAGAAATTAATCATTTAATGATTTCATTTAATTTTTGATTTTCATTTAATAAACATATTTGATTCATGTGTGACCATTTTTTATTACTATATATATTATACGCATTTATGACTTATTGTTATTTTTTATTTTTTTTAAGTGATTCTCATAATTAAGCTCATGTGAATATGCATGTATGCATCACACTGCAGGTAGTTTCTGGGACGCTCTGGGAGGAAAGGCTGATTACCGCACGTCCGCCAGGCTAAAGGACAAGATGAATGCCCACCCACCACAACTGTTCGCCTGCTCAAACAAAACTGGGCGTTTCATTGTGAGTAACACACCCAGATTTTTTGCCTGCCCTGATTTAAATACAGCAAGTATATTGTCAGTGTAGTATGATCAAGAGCCATTCATTATGGATGCATTGATATCCATGCAGATTGAAGAAGTTCCTGGAGAGATGACCCAAGAAGACCTGGCTACAGATGATGTCATGATCCTGGACACCTGGGATCAGGTAAACTGACTACTTTAACAGGATTGTTCTACTTTACATAGTGTTGCAATCAAGGAGATCTCATTTATAAAGGGAGAGCTGTATATTCCCATTCATATCAATGGAAGCATGTGACCTGGAAACTGTTTTCAAATGTTATTATATCAGTAATGGAGAAACATGCTTTTTGTCTGCATAATTGTGTAGTTACAGCATCGACCGGTAGGGATGCAGAAGCTAACCGGCCAAACCTTGAACCCTTCTGGGTTCAATAAAATTTCCAAATAGTTGGTTAATCATTAAATTTCTATATGTGCAGAGTTATTGTTAAGGTAGTTCAGTTAAATTTTGTACCATACTTGTCTTGCATGACTCTTTTATTAATGCAGTGACATGCAACTGATGTTTAATAAATTAATAATGCGTCACAGAGAATTGTAAGGAATGTTGATGTGTTTTGCAGGTGTTTGTTTGGATTGGTAATGAAGCTCATGATGAGGAGAAGACTGAGGCAATGACTTCAGGTAAGGCACCTTAAAACACTTTATACTTCTAATTATAATTCACTGCATAAAGTATAAAACAGTAAGTTTTACCATACTACTGTTTACCATACTAGAGTAAACAGTGTATTACCATACTACTCAGTATGCAATTTTTTTTCTTTGTGTAGAACGCTCAAATTACCTACTACATTCCTCATGTGAAGTACACAACAGATCATTGCATGGAATACTGTATCCCACAATGCAACTCTTGTTTATCCAAGTGATTTTTAATATTTATTTTTGACAAAACTGACAATATTTATTTAGGATAAAACAGAACAAAACAAAACAAAAAATTTTTTGTTCGATTTTTTAAAAATTTTGTTCCAAAATGGTAACTGGGTGCCACTTATATACTAGACAACCAAAACATATTTTCATTTATAAAATCATTCTAATATGCTGTTTTGGTGCTCAAGGAAATTAATAATATGATCGGTTGAAAAGAGTTTAGCTGTTTAATATTTTTGTGGAAACCAACATACACTTTTTTCATAATTCTTTGCTGAATAGAAAATTCAAAAGAACAGCATTTATTTGGAATCTGTTAATGCATGTCATGACAGATTTTTTCAGTTAATATTGTCTGTGGTCCATGCTACAGTCCAGTAGGTGGCGATAATGTTTGCAAGATAGAAAGGAAGATAGAAACATGAGCATATTTTGAAATCCCAAAACACTTTATAACGTGTCCTTTTATGAATCCCATATTAAACTTCCTTTTCGCTCTCTCCAGCTGCCCGATACATTGAGACGGACCCAGCCACCCGTGACCCACGTACACCCATCGTGAAGATTAAACAAGGCTTTGAGCCGCCCACATTCACAGGCTGGTTCCTGGGCTGGGACCACGACTACTGGAGCACTGACCCCCTGGAGCGGGCCATGGCGGAGCTGGAGATCTGAACTTTGAGCTGTCACCCCTGACCTTTAAACCCCACTACCTTACTGCAAGTTGATCAAAGTTGCCCTTAGATTCATATAAGATGCCAATTTGATGCTTATGAAGGTTTAATCATGGATTCAAAAACCAAAGCTGGTCCTGGGTCAGTATCAAAAGGCAATTTTTAAAAAGAGCACTTTACTGCCCTTAGCTTCAGTCACCATACGGCAACTCCATTCATTTAACTCCTTTTTACTTCTGTATTTAAGTGTTTTCGTTCTGTGCTCAACAGTTTTTACTCTTGTAAAGCTTTTAGATTGTTGTGCTTGGTCTGCACACCTTATGTTGCTGAAGGGATATCTTTGTCAAAATCAGTCAGGTATCTTTTTCTAGAAATCTTTTTAATGTGACCAGTATCAAGAGTTTTACTATAAATAATACTTTAGTGTTTTGAATTAATATTTTTATGATAAGCAATGCTTATGATGCCACCAAAGATATGAGGCATTTCCACCTTGTCGCTATTCCATCTGACACTCAGGAGTTCAGTGATTGGCTGTGTGCTGACTAGAATACTAGCATACTACTCATACTGTTCTGTAAGTGTATTATAGTGTGTATACAGTATATATTTATATACATGAAATACCTAGATAACCTTCTACATTTGCCAAAATGTGCAGTATACGACATAGCATGCTCTGTTGAACATTTCATCCCAAAGTGTTCCACAATTGTTGTTAACTAAAAATAAATAGTTGTAAATGTAAATAAAGCTAAAATAAAATATAAATAATGGATGAAGAACTTAAACTAAATGAAAATCAGAAATGTTGCTTTGGCAACTAACTGAAAGAAAGTTGAAGTTGAAGCACAAAAATGAACTGGAAATAACTCAAACTAAAATAAAAATAAATTACAAATAAATAAAAACAACAGCAAAGAATAAAAATTACAAAAGCACATAACACAATTACTAAAATGAAAACTGAAAATATAAAAGAAAATTCAACATATCAATAAAAAACTATAGTAGTATATAGTACTATAACGCACTTGAGCATTCAGGTGGTAATATCAATATGATATATCAACCACGATTTTTAATGACTGATTGCTAAATCAGACTGCCAAATGTTAACACAAAACTGGCTTAAAAATGCAAAACAACTTAATAAATTGAAAATGGCTATCATTTAATGTGTATTGTGTGACAACAATGTAAAATATGGTTTAAAACTCTTATTGTGAAGTAATACCTATTTCACTTGCTATTTTTAATTAGGCAGTATACTGTACATACTGAGCAGTATCCAGTTAGTAAGCTAGTACTCATTCCAAACACAGCCATGGTCCGTGTGAACAAAGACAATTATTATTATTATTATTTTTAAGACTATTAAATCCATTACTGGAGTTTTAAAGGAGCATGTCTTGTTAGAGGCCTAGAGAAGCAGAGGCCGTATTATTCTTACATATGCAATGGTAAGACTGAATGGATGCGCAGCGGAAGGTCTGCTGTTTATTTCTAGGGGCTGGTTTAGATAACTGTTAACATATGGGTCAATCAACTGCCTGAAGATCAGCTAAAATGCTATAACTTATAGTGCAGAGGTGAGTTGCCTTTGATATTTGCTGAAGACTCATATAGCAACTTATTCATAAGGGCTATTCCAGATACCTCTGCTTTCGCAAATCCATCTATACCTGAAATAAAAAATAAAATAACAATTTGCCAGTTTTCCTACTTATACAATAAAGAACCACAACCCCGAAAGGTTTCCAGAGTGTTCTTCAAAGACTGATTTATGCATCATATTAATAGCAGTCTGGGAATATAATGAGGTAAATGTACTTATACGTCATGAGAAAGATTATATTACACATTATGATTTACTAAAGGGAATGGGACAGTCACACATCAAAATTATATGATATTCAAACAAAAAAAGTATTACAATGTACATAAAAGTGGGTTGGACAAAACAACAGATGTGATATTCAGTTAAATGACAGAATAAACAATTACATATAGAACTATAATAGACTGATACATGATGAAAATACAAATATTTGGAAATGTTGTTGAAATCTTAAACAGTCCTAAGCAGCACTGACAGTAATTTCACATCTTTTGACAAGTCTGTAATTCCATCCTCTGATATTTGAAGCAGCAAATAGTCTTTAAAAGCACAAACATTGACCTCTATAGCCTTAATTTGTTTTCAGCTGCAATCTGATGTAAAATATTACATTACATGTATGTAAATGTCTGGTAGATAAAATAGTAAGATAGAAGAATTTATAAATCAAGTGATAAAATATTAATGTGACATTAAATGGATGAATAAATGCATTGTGGTTTTAAAAATCAACCATCATGTAAAGCTATAAATATTAATTGAAATGGATATGGCATAAGGCTTTTATATTGACAGTCAACATTAATAAAGGTTTAAGAAAGCAAGAAAAACTGGTAGGCACATTAAGCACTGCTCTCAGTTCCATGTTTTGACACCTGATACTATCTAAATATTCCTTTAGACGGTTTATTATCTATTTGACAATCAAGGTTAGGTTACATGCGCCTGAAACACACACATGCACTCATATGACCAGGAGATGTTCCAAAAAGCTCTCAATTTGTAAGTCCAAATTTTGGTATGATAAGTACGAAAAAAAGTTGAAAAGGCAACAATGTGATTTTTTTGTTCAAGGGCAGGAAATTATTTAAAATTGGAATCTTATTTAGCAAATATTTTATGACTTTAATATTGTTTGGTTGTATCAGATTTCCTTCAGACAGAGCGAACAGGTCTTTACTAGGAACATCTACAGGTCACACATCAGAAAATGGCTGAGTGTGTATGTGGTGTATGTACAGTAGGGTCCAAAAGTGAGACCACTAGTGAAAACATTTCTATTTTGCATGTTTCTAATATAGTATACTACTAGAATATCAATTTGAGTGGTTAAATTTAAAAAATGTACATGGGTTTCAGGATTTACCTGTATTTCATGTTAACAACAGCAGCACTCAAGCTGCATGAACTCCACACATTTGTGTTAAACTTGATGCTCATGTTCTCCAGCATGATTTGAGATGATCCAAAGAGCATCTTGAACATCTGACCATCTGTACAAAGTCACATGATCACCAATTTGATCACCAATTTTCTCTTTTTTAATTAGTGACTTGCAAACACAACCTCAAATATTTCTTCTTCATTTCACGTAATGATGTTTCTTAGATTTAAGTTTTCCAACAATGAATACCAGAATTCAATGTGGTCTCAGACTTCTGGACCCGGCTGCACCGGGTATACTCACATGAGTGCATGTTATATAACGTCCGTCTGTTCATTACTGCATGGATGCATCTGTATGTATGTATGTGTGCGTGTGTGTAGGTTACTTCATGTGGCTCTTAGTTCAGTGCTTCATGAAGGACTGCATCATGTCAATGGGCAGAGGGAAAATGATGGTGGAGTTCTTCTCGGCTGCGATGGTGTTAAGGGTCTGGAGGTAGCGCAGCTGCAAAGCAGAGGGGGACTCTGCGATCACCAGAGATGCCTCCTTCAGTGCTCGTGACGCATTCATTTCTCCCTCAGCGGCTATCACCTACAGACAGCAGAGAGGCGGTGTGGAAAAAAAAAAAGCATGTGGTCTCGATTTAGCAAACATTGTATACCGCACAAAACTTCCACCCCTTAACCTAGTTTCAAATTGACGCCCACTCTTTACCCTGAAGTCATACTGCGAGTTATCTCATCGTTCCTTCGAAGCAACTGTTCACCTAAAAATAAACATTTTCTGAAAATGTACTCCTCCTCAGGCCATCCAAGATGTAGATGAGTTTGTTTCTTCATTGGAACAGATTTGGAGTAATTTAGTATTACTTGCTCACCAGTGGATCCACTGCAGTGAAAGGGTGCCATCAGAATGAGAGTCCAAACAGCTGATAAAAACATCACAATAATCCACATGACTCCACCCCAATAATTAACCTCTTGTGAAGTGAAAAGCTGTGTGTTTATAAGAAACAAATCCATTATTAAGACACTTTTACATACTGGTAAAAAAATGTATAGCCTGAATGCACTATAAGTCACTTTGGATAAAAGCGTCTGCTAAATGCATAAATTTATTAAATTAAAATTAAAAAATAACTTTTCCTCTTTCCATCCTCTATCCATAATATTGCTTTCTCCAGTGGACAGTGGTTTCCCACTTCTCTCTGTGTGGCTGATGTAGGCTGGGGCATTGATTTGAAGAAAACATTCTTTTTGTATCTGAACTAAGCATGGAAGAATAATTGTGCACCAAAAATAAAATCATTAAAACTTCCTTTCCCATGTTCTTCTGAGGGCATGTGCTCTCATGAACATTTTTAAGGAGGTCAATTCAACTGCACAGGGAAGAGGTTAACCAGGCATACAGCTGGAAATGTAAAAATACAGGCTCTCACATAAATAAACAGACAAATTAGTGGGAAATACACACAGAAATAGGAAAGGAGTTGTCACTTCCGCTTCCTATGAGAGTATTGCGGTGGTCTTGCCTCAGAGCAGAGAACGTTTGCATTCAGCTCCCACACATTCCAATAATTTGGTCTACAGTATGTACATGCATGTACATGAGAGGATGATTAATATGTGTTTGCCAGCAAAATCTTATCAAATATAAATCTAATCATCCGTCCACATAATTAACATTATCCAAGAGTATCCTTGTGTGTGTGTGTGTGTGTGTGTGTGTAACAAGGATAAATAATGCACCAGACTTTTAGTGTTCTGACCTATATATATATATATATATATGTCTCTTAAGCTCACCAAGGCTGCATTTATGTGATAAAAAATACAATACAAACTGTAATATTCTGAAATATTAATAAAAAAAATTCTTTTTTAATATATTTTAATATGGAATCAATTCCTGTGATGGCAGAGCTGAATTTTCAGCAGCCATTACTCCAGTCTTCGGTGTCACATGATCCTTCAAAAATCATTCTAATATGTTGATTTGGTGCTCAAGAAACATTCCTTACTATTGTCAATGTTGGAAACAGTTGTGCTGCTTAATATTGTTGTGGAAGCTGTGATACATTTTAAAAAGTATAAAGTTCAACAGAGCATTTATTTCAACATTAACGACATTAATGTTATAAATGTCTTTATTGTCATTTTTGATCAACTGAATGTGTCTTTGCTCAATAAAAGTATACATTTATTTTAAAAACTTATAAAAACTTAAAACTTATCCCAAACTTTTAAATGGTAATTTATACATAGTAACCACACACAAACATTATATTTATATGTGAATTATATATTATTTTCCATCATTTTTATTTCTTAATTAATAATAAAATATTTTATATTACTTTTGCAAAATGTGTACATTTTAC